ATGGGGGTGAGTAGAAAATGAAGGCTAATCATGTTTTGGGTGTACTATTCCTTTAACACAAGCTGCTCTGCTTTGCACGTAACATAGAACTGAAGTGACTAGATCGCTGTCACTGTGCATCTCTGTTTCATATTAATAAGAACATAAATTAATGGATTAAAAATGCATAATTCATTCTAATCCGATCGAGCTAATTAGACAATATGGGAGCTGATATCTGATTCGGGTATCGGATCAGTGCGTCTCCATTCGTGCATCTTCTCTGTGCTGACTTGTTCATATCGGTGGAGGTCATTTCTAGCAACTGTTTTTGCAGTTATCTAAAAGTTTTCTTTTAACTGCTCCTCGTTTTAAGACAGAAAAAATATCAGATACTTCCCTTTTCTGACAGAAAAAGAAAGAGAAATCTCCTACATGCAGGAACAGAATTTTCAACTGCATATCAGCTGAGCCGACCTAAGAGATGCTCAACATCTGAATTTAATAAAAAAAAACCTTGATTCTCTTGTATCAAGCTTTGCTGCAGCAAATAATTGCACTTTTTTAGCTACTTTTAGCTAATGTTTATCAACATAGTTTGGTTTCCAAAAATGTTTTTTATGTAGCAATCAATGCAGTTTTGAAGATATTTGTAAATTGACAGCAAAGCAGAAATAGGACATAATTCTACAGGAATAAGTTAATGTGACATCATTAAAAGTGAAAAAAAATAAAATACAAATACTATAAATCAATCTTTGATCAGTTGATCAGAATTTATTGTTGGCGATGCACCAATATTTGCACTAAAGAATTAGGAATATGAAAAAATGCTGAAATTAGACAACTTTCCTTTGAAGTTGGACTTAAATACTAAAAAAGTGGGTTTTAAATCAGTTTAAACAATTAGAATGGTAAACTACTTCCATTTGCACTGTAGTGAACTAAATGCTTCTTATGAAACTTGTTTTGTCAGATGAAAGCTGGGGTCATATAGTATCTCACATAACTGAGTAAACCACTAACATTCTTGTAAATATTTAATCATATATTTCCATGGGGCGGCCCTGAAGATATGATACTTTTGACACAATGTAGGCAGTGAACAGGCTGTGTTAGTGGGAAAGTTTGCTGTCCCTTCAAAATAACTCAACACAGCCATTCATGCATGAACTGCTTGTAAGAAATGAGTCCTCCCTTAGTTGAAAATACCCAAGATTGTGCAAAATAAGCCATTCTCCCTCCCCAGTGTCATGTGTCACTGAATGGATAGCAGGTGTGTTAAATCTGGTCTCACATACTGGTCATTGAAAGGTCAACATGTCAGCTTGTGGTAAAGAACTCTGAGGATCTGAGAAAATGGGTTTGCTGATCTACATAAAGAAGAAGAAAAACAGCATGAAGCTGAGCTGCGGCATGGTGGCCAACAGCATACAGCAATTTAAAATGATAGATGGGAGATCTGGGGACAGATCAGTGAGGAATGCTAATAAACTATGTGACACACTTAAACAAACTAGGCTGAACACACCTTGAAGAGGACACCGCCTTGCTGAAGGAAGAGTGACGGTGGTGTCCTGGCTGAGCGCGTCCCCCATACCTACGACCTATTGACCTTCATCAATCTGAAGGTGGAGCTGCTCAAGGTCCCGAGAATGGCAAAGGGTTCCAGTGGCAAGCTATGAAACTCTAGTGATTGTGCCGGTGAGTATTAAGGCAGAGCTGAACAACAATGGTAGCTTAAAACAACTGAAGTCCTTTTTTCTATATTTTGTCTATACCTATAAAGACAGATACACCAGCTATTCTTGATTTTGAGACGATATTAGTGTTGTTTTTTCTCCATATATTGGTATCTGCAGATACATGCATGTGTTTGTAGATTCATTAAAGCATTGTGCAGCCCTGGATGAGGTTAGGTGAAAAGCATGCATTGCCTCTCCCTCCATTTGCTAACTATTGTTAATATTTTGATTTGCTAATACATCTTTCTTTTTGTTGTGTTTAAAATGAGACATTAGTTATCATGTTAACGGGGAACCTTGTGCTGGTATCAGCAATCCTCTTTGGTATAGTTTGTTTGAGCAGCAGCTAAATGGTTTGATAAGCTTATACGGAGGGACAGCTCTGTAGAGGAATGTGCAGATGGTGGAAGAAAGAGGGACAGTCGCAATAATAACACGACTAATGGACGATGCCTCTGACCCCACGCATGAAACTGTTGCAGAGCAGGAGAGATCCTGCAGCGACAGACAGACGCCAAGCGCACTTGGGAGCATTATCACAGATCCTTCCTCACAGCAGCCGATAGACTTGGTAACCATCATTGCTCCCTATAAAATTAATACGTATTTATTTATTTTTGTTGGTTTCTATTTTTTATAAACAGTCTGTTTAAACGTCAGTTTTCTAGTAACTACACAGGAGATTTTCTTCTGATGAAAACATTTCTCTTGCATGCTGCTGAAGCAACTGAATTTCTCATCTGTGAGATAATAAATCATTACTCTGTTCTACTTTACCTGGAATAGTTAATATGTTCAGATTATTTTAACAACATTAGGAGTAGATGTTTCTTTTCTGATTTAAATAAAATGAATGCAGATATATCCCAGTTTTATGTGTGTTACCATGAAACCAAAGTTTTTTAATCTAGTTGATTTTGAGCTAATCTAGATCAAACTTGACTAAACCATTAAAAAAAAATCACATGGTACGTTGTGTTTAAGTCACTCCTTCTATAAAGGATGAGTAGCTCAGTGTACATGTATAGAAAAAAAAAGTAGGGACAGGCTGTCACTTTACAGCACTTTACATCACGATGGCAGCCACTGCTCCTTTTGGCCCCTCAGTCTTATTTTCCAAGCTTTGTCAGCTTCCTTGGATTCCCATTTTAGTTTCCAATGTTAGAAATGCAACATGGAAGCTGGGGCTCGCAGCAGCATGAAAGCCTACCTTTATCGGCCTTAAATCTGCCAATGATCACTTTCCACGCTGTCCTATTTAGGCATCCTGACACCAGCGGGTTGCCAGGAAGCTCATGTTTAAATGAGGAGCCTCGGGCTCAATGAACAGAGAGCCTCTTTCACAATCAACAGACAAATATTCACCCCCTTCTGATGTCAGTGAACTGCCCTCGGCATTCTGGGAAACTGACTCACTATAGCCAAGATAGAAGAAAATGCAAACAGCAGAGCTGGATGAGCGATGGTTTCCTGCTGAGGTGCCTGAGAGAAACCAAGGTGAGGTTGAGCTGAGAGGGTCCTCCTCTGCTCGCCTGGCGGACGACATTGCGATTATGTTTCTCTTCCTTTCACATCCCACAAATGACCAGCCAGCATAGAGAAACGTTACCGGTCACAAAAAGAAAACTTTCTTAGAGAACCAAAGATAATGAAAGATATGAAAATACTGTTGCTACTTTGGTTTTTCCCTCCTCTGTTTGTCCCAAAAGCAACAAGAGGGCTGCCAGGGGAATTTAAAGTGCTTTCACCAAAATAGACCACAGCTCTGTCAAGGAGAAAGAAAGACGTCTCAGTAAATACTGATGAGGAGCCGCTCTGAGCTTCAAATTACTTTAACAAATGACGCAGAGTGGGAGACGCCGAATGGGTTTGGCTACTGAGGAAATCGATGTTCTGGGTGTGAAGGTCCATGGATGATGACGATGATCTAAGAGAAACCAGGGTGTCTATTTCTCCCTGGGAATATTCAGTTTTAAAGGGACAAAAAAAGAGAAAAAAAAGATGGGTGGGTGTGCAAGTGTGCAGAGAAAGAGTCAGAGAGAAAGAGCAGCTGTGGAAAGGGCTGAACAGGCAGCTTTTGTCCCAATAATAGCTCTGAAACAGAGAAACAGTTTGCACCAGGGAAGAAGTTGGGAGTTTTTGATTTACTTTGGAGAAGAGAAAAAAATCCTTGTAATGTTCTCCTTTGGAAAGGTTACAGTAACTAAAAGTGTCAATAAGAAACAACAGAACGGATGTGAAAACCCATGTTCCTCCTGCTGAATTTCCTTCACCGATGGGCAGGATCAGGGTCAAAATGTGGACATGGAAGGTTGTTTTTCACACTTTTCAACTAACATCTGACTTGTGAAAGCAGAGGAAGCTGATATAAGACAGTATTGCTTTCACTCCTTGTACATTGTCCTATATCTTAACAGGATTTCATGAGGTAGAACATCACAAGTGATGATTTGTCCCTTATTTGGGCTGAAGCCAGCTGCATACAAGTTTTTTTTTTTTCCTGCCACTCTTCTGTAACCTAATAAGATTCAATCACACACAGGGCGTCCTGAATAGATAGCTAGTTGGAGTATTTAGATTTTATTTGAGGGTGTCAATGTAAATGTGGCTGAATACATAAGCACGCAGCATTTTTTGGATTTTGTTTAGTAAAAAGTGCTGACAACCTTTCCTCCTTTTACTTCTATTTCCCAATTTAGCACCACTTTGTATCACTCTGCCATACAGCATCAAAGTTTGTATTCCTAACATTTAAAAAAGTGGAAATACTCAAGAGGGTGTGAATACTTTTACAACCCACTGTAACCCAGCCACGACAGGCTGCTTGATAGGAGATTACATTCCTCCACGCGCCTCCCATCCCGAGGTCAGCGCAGCCAAGACGAATCATAACTCATTTGTTCACAGTTTGTTGCCAGATGAAGGCTTTCTGCAGCATCTGGTTCCCACCTCTCTCTGCTCCTCACGTTAAAACGCCCTGAATGCGCTTACGGCTCATAAGAGCAGATGAAATGCAAAATTATATGAAACACGATTCACAGTAAAAGCACTTTAATCAGGGCAGCTTGTATGAAGCCAACACGAGTGGCTCTGCCCCCACTGCACTTGCATGAGGGCAGAGAGCTGCTAATGCAAAGGCGTGGACCTCCTTGGTGGGCGGTGTGACCAAGGTTAAAAGCTGTGTGTTTGCATGTGAGTACTTTAAAAAGAAAAAAGAAGTGCAGCTACATCTTCTGCATTAAAATAAATATTTCTATTTCTCAAACTGAGCTGCTGAGTGGGTGTGATTTATACCTGCATCTGAACGCGTTGCGTGTCCACATCACACACTGTGTGTCTTTGGTTTGTGCAGTGGGAGATGCAGCAGAAGGGGCACAGAGCCACCTGCTCTTCCTCACAGTGGAGCAGCCTGTATTCCTCATGAGTGGGACAGGTCCAGGCACTCAGCTCCTCAATGTCTACTAACAGGTGTCCCGGCGGCGCGCACGTCTGCTGGAGGTGCGTTTGGATGTGAGTCTGGCAGCAAGGCTCTTTGCAACGGAGGCACACTTTCCTCACGGGCAGCGGGGGGCCCCGTCTGCAGAGGACGCAGTGCAGCACAGTGGGAGCCTTCTCCGCGTTCAGAGCGTTAAACCGCTTAACGATGCTGGCGAGCTTAAAGTTCTTCTCCAACGCTGGTTTCTGGTCGTAGTCATGGTTACACTCAGGACAGCGGACCGCCGCGCTTTCCTTGGCCCAAGCCTCAGAGATGCAACCTTTGCAGAAGTTGTGCTTGCAAGGCAACTGGATTGGCTCCTCAAAAACATTCAGGCAAATAGGGCAGAGAAGCTCCTCCTCAAAGCAGTTTTTCCAGCTTGCATCCATAACTTGGCTGGAGATCCAAACTGATGGTGTACAGCTGAAAAAAGAAAGATCAAAAGTGTTTAATTTCCAAAGAATCACACACAAAAAAAAGACAAATTTTGTTTAATTCTTTTTTTTTAAGTTAATGTCTTATTGGATTTGCAATAATTAACAGTGGGAACACCAAAGAGCATGAATGGAGATGGCCACTCTTAGAAATTTACTTATCATTATAGAAATTTAAAATAAGAGAGCCTGATTTAGCCATATTTTTATTGTTTTATTTTTGAATAATACACACCTCCTTCATGATGCACCACTTTAAATCATTCTAACTTATTTCCAGTACAGCTTTTTCCAAGCAGTTATGGAAAAGGTTTAGTGAAACAAAAAAGGTTGGTAAATGGAGTCAACCTGAATGAGGTTTTAACTGAAATGTGAAGAAGATCCTTTTTCTAAAGTTTGGGGAAGCGTCACACGTACGGGATGCACAGGCATCTACAGGGAAATTCTCCGGCATATCACGCTTTTTCTCTGATGAAAAGCCTTTTTGTTTTTTTGTAGTTGCCATCTATACTGCGGAATTACAAACATTTGGTCAACTAACCTGAATTGAGTTTTGGTTGAACATCTTTCTCATTGTCATTACTTACCTACTTTTATCAGTAATCATTCTGCATAAAATTGATATTTACAAGCACTAATATGTACTTAAATTTATTATTTAATAAGTTTTTGTTAAGATATTTATCTATGATTTCACTGAAGATTCCTAGATGACTTGCAGAGACACGTTATTTTCTTTTTACCCCATAAAACACAAAATCTATTTCTGCTTGAATTCTGTATTTATCATTTTTAATGTTAGTATATTGATGTGCATAATTAACCACAGTGTTTTTGTTGTCAAGTAATTGTTAATATATGAAAACTGAAAATGTTTTGAATATTCCACATGAGATTATTACTGTTGGCACCATCTGTATTAGAGGGAAATAAATGGTAGTGGTGGTAAATGATTGACTAAGGGTGGCGATGGCCACCCCTAGCCCCCCATCTAGCTCCGCCCCTGAGAAACACAAAGGTCTATCATCATAGCTGAAAGCAGCCATCAAACCAACAGGCATTTCCCCAGCAGGGCCCCAGGCTGACTGACTCCATGCCACGCTGCACTGATGCACTAAAAAAGGGAAATAAACCCATTATGGTGTGCAGACATTTTACCGTAGTTTTCCCCATAGTTCAACTTATCTGGATTAAAGAAAAAAAAGTCTAATTTTCTGAGAATCTATTCATTACCATCTGTTTTGTTGAATATTTATTTATTATTAGCAGCAATATATATCTAAAAATGATAACTTCGTTGGTTTTATTTCTTTCACATAATAAACTACAAGGATTTAGAATTTTGTGTTTTACCGTAATATTTTTTTAATGCCCCCCCCTCATCCGGCCACCCCTATTAAAACTTTGTGAAAGCGCCCCTGGACGCAGAAACAGGTCCAGGTTTGAAGCTGCTGACAAAAAGTGAAAAGTGATTTAAAAGTGAACTTAATCAATCTTGAATTAGTGAGTGGTTCGCAGGGCCAGACGCGTCTGAAAGCGCCTGACATTAAAGCTGCGCTGACATTTTAATGAAGCTGTAATTGGGCAGCTTTAAAGCAAACGTACCGACTCTACGGAGGAGAGCGACGTTACCAACTATTTATTGTCCATTTGGTCGGCAGACTCCGGTGCTCCTAGAATAAAGCCGAGCAGCCTGTCATCCAGCCCCGCGATGAACCCCCAGCTCCTTCGCTTGGATCGCAGCCGTCGCTCCGACGCTCCGCCCGGGCTGCGCTTTTTATTCCCCCCGCCGCTTCTGTCGACTGTTTCGGTTTCCCGTCAGCTCTGTGAGCGAAGGTTTTACTGGAAGCAGAGGTAGACGGTGACGGTGCTTTCACACCGACTCCAACCCCCAGCTCCAACACACCGTGACCCGTCACAGAGTTGACACACAGACTGGGAGGAGCCGAGAGGAGGAAGGGAAGCGGCGGAGAGCAGCAAACTCTACCGGACACACTGCAGAAGACCGGCTGAGGCCCCCAGGGGCCCATGTCAGGGTCTATAAACAGAAAAGAAAACATCTCCTTTTTTCCACTCAATGTGTTTCAGAGATATTTTAAAATCCAGTTATGGATCTGAAAAAATAAATAAATAAATAAAATGCTCTGAGGGGCCCATCTCTCTACCCCATCACCCATAACTCTAGCTTTGGTCCCTGTACTAAGAAAAAACACACAAAGAAATTATAAGTAGAAGTACTTTTCTTGAAGTTGGTGTGTTTTCCCTTCAGTTGCAGCTGGAATAAAGTGATTTTTGTTAAAAATAAGAAAAATATAACATCTCCATTGTCTTACTTCAACTGCATAATATCTAATCATCTTTTTTAAGAGTAGAAATACTCATTGCTTTGGTAGATGATCTTATCTTAATGCTCAAATTAAGGGAAAATGTACTTATTTTAAGAACAATTTTATTTTTCTACATTGGTTTTGCAGTGTAACTCTAAATCAATTTCTTATGATAATATCCATTGACAGAGGAGAAGTTACTGATTATGTTAGTGGACAGTCTCCTTTAACAATTATTTTGAAATTACAGTCAGCTTTAAACATCAGCCATACTAACATAGGATTACAGTTTTGTCTCTTAGATCAGAAGTGTTCAACCTTTATGTATTGATTCACTCATTATACTAAACATAGCACTCTTACCCTATTTTTATTTGTTATTCTTTTGTTTTCTTTTGTTCTGTAACCCCATGATTAAACACAGGCCCCACCCTGACCCCCCCTGGTACATTTCTTTCAGAATCCACACTTGTCAGGGGTAGATTTGGTGGTCAACTATAGGTTTCACAATAAAAGGTTTTTCTGTCATGATAGCCTAGTGTGCACAACAAATACTGAGTTGTGGCCATAAAGTGCACACACCTGGCTACTTTATATTATGTTTCAGTATTTGCACTCCTGATGTCCAAAGTGAGCACTTTATTCTAATATTAACCATATATTATTAACCACATGTACTACATGTATGTAATTACCTAGTAGGTAATTAATTAGACAGATGTTGAACTCTGTTATTATTGTTTGTCTTATCCAAACTGTCAGAGCTGCAGCCAAACACACTTGCAAGTAGAGCTGAGGGGTTAACATTTTGCATGCAAAAATAGGTTATTTGCAGCCAACAATTAGCAGTTCACAGGAACTAATTAGTATTTTTGTGTGCACACCATCTTTATTTTTTCTTCTTTTCCTCCCTCAGTTTTTGGGCACTGTACCTTTTGAAAGGAAATATGAACTTTTTTAGTTGCTTACTCTGAGTCACAATTTAAGTGTAGAAGAGAATCTGCAGAGGAAGTTAAAGGTTAGTGATAATTTCAAGATGTGGCGCAAACTGTGAAAAATTAAATACAATGCAGAAAATCTTATGTCATTTTTTCTTAAGTTTGGTGCATTTGTTCTTGAACCGAGGAGGTAAGTGAGACACTTTGCTAATGGAACAAGACAATTTACGTTTAAATTAAAAATCAAGTGTATATCATCTAATTATCTTATTTTAATAGAAAAAATACTCATACCATTAGCATGATCTTATTTCCCTACTTAAATTAAGGGCAAATGCACTTAAATGTTTTAAAATTATTTCTAGATCGTTTTTTGCTGTGCACATCCTCAAAAAATGGAAACATGCTAATAGCTCATCAGCAGTTTCATGCTAATACGATTTTCATACTAATACAATGCAAATATTAAAACTGTATTAACAAATCATGTCAATTGTGCACTAATTGTATTTTCATCTCATAAAATCCAATTAATCTATAAGAGTATAAAAGTTGCAGGGTACTGTAGTTGATAGTCAAAGTTTTCTTTTAAACTGAAACAAATAACATAAATAAAACCAATTTAACTTGAACACATTCAAACTATTTACATAAACAAGGATCTAGTTTCACTTAGGCATTCTACGGGGCTCAGCCTGGACCTGAGGATCAGACAAATAGACTAAAAAACAACTTTCCTCCAGCACTGAACCAGTATAATTAACTTTCTACCAACACACATTAGCCACTCTTTTCATTTTCTTATATATTTAGGATTGTTTTAAACTGTGTAAAGCAGTGACCCACTGTACCTTCTGTTTAATTCACACCTCTGGACACCAAACAAGGTCCTCCACATTGCAATCACTTATCCTGGTTTATTTGTGTAATAGCTACACAATTTAATGCACTTCGGATTACAGCCACAGTTCACTGATTAAAAAAAAATAAAAACCTCAACATCTAAACATTTCTTTCATTCTGAATAAAAAAGAAAAACATAAATACACCATCAAGAGCAGTTATAGTACGATGACTCCAACATGTAGATTTTACATTTTAGTGTTAACAGGAAATGCAATGTGATGAACCAGGGCGTTTCATTGAAAGAGATGTGTTTTTTTAAACTATCAGGAGCTGTATGCAGAACGGAAAATAGCTTAAAGCTCAAGGCACTAAGAGGATCTCATTTCATGTGACGGGTATCTCTTACATTTCTTCCAATTTTTAAAACACGCCTGGTTGAACGAGGAGGAGAAATGCTCAGATGTGATGTAGAGTGGGGTTTAGGTTCTTGGCACAGGGGAACCAGCAGCATCTGTAACCATGGCTTGTGGCTTTATCAAACAGACAGAACTGACAGTCAAACACTTTGGCATAAACATACAAAAAAGAAAAATGTCCAGCATTTGTAAAAACTATACAAAAAGAAGAGAAATCAGGTGTAGTTGAAAACACTGAAAATCTGTTTTGCTATTTTAGTCCCTTTGTTTAAGGCCACTGGAATAAATAGTGTTTTATTACTGTAACAGCTATTGCTTCAGACACTGTATCCGTAGAGCAGGGTGCCTGCTCTGCTGCATTACTAATGTATATTTTAGGTTGTTTTTTTTGTTTTTTTTGGAACATTCCGTTTGCCTCAAAGCAAAATTTTCACAAAACCACCCACTGAATGAGCTGGTGTGATAATCAAAGGTATTTGAGCCTCAGGGAGGAGACGCTAACTAGTCTTAGAACACAGCAACAGTCAGTAATGTGGAGTTGATCCCCGGGGTTGTCCTCTGGAAGGAAGCAGGCCTCTAACAGCATACGGACTCTCAGCATGGAGATCTGCTCTTCATGACGGCGCTCTTTAAAAAGAATGCTTTCAATGAATCTCCTTTGTTTCACTGCAGCAGATTATCAAACACAGAGTCTGGAAGGATGGAAATCTTCAGCTTCTTCTCTGGCCAGCTGTATTCCTTGGGTAATTTTGTCTGAACAGAAGGAAAAGGATAATGGAGGTTAGAAGCAGGTAAGCAAACTGAAACTAAAAGCTAAAGTGCAGGGGATTTTGTTTACCTCGTCGCGAGAGCCGAGCTCGTGTAAATCCCCCAGCATCTGCTCTACAAACTCCTCAGTCAGCAATATCTAGGAGGGTAGAGGAAGGGACAAACATCTACTGGATGCTTTCGGTACAAACATGACACAGCAGCTCCACACATCTATGTCCATACCTGGAGCCAGGGGCCATGGGCTGCGTAGGGATGCTCCTCAGTGGCAAAGGCTCCTTCCACTCCTGTAGACACAAACGTGATGGCCGTGTCTCCGTTAATGCTTTTATAGGTGAAGTGTCTCCCATGGAGTAACCTGCCCCTGCAAGCAATAAAACACAGCATGAATGTTTGACGGTGTTTGATGAAATTTCTTCACCTCACCAAAACAACAGACAGGTTTATGCAACTTTACATTTACGATATACAGGAATAACAAAAAAGAATACACAAACTTTTGACTTTATTTTCTCTGATCCAGACATGCAATACTTTAACATGCAGGTTAATAAACTATAATCCTTATCCTGCCAAGTGTGATAATCGCTGATGTATTTAAGGCTTCTTCAGGCCTTTCAGTGAGATTTGTTAGCTAATTAAATCAATTATTCTCTAAAACCTACAGAGTTTAGTAAGTTTTCAGTGTCAACAGCTGAAAAAAAAGTTTTTATTTGAGTTAAGTTTGAGCCTGAATGTAGAGAAGGAAACGCTGAAGAAATTGCTGGAAGGATACAGAAAGATGATGCAGTAAATGAATAGTTTGTTTACCAGCTGCATTTCAGAGGAGCTCCTATTTGTGTTTTCTGAATCTTGTTTTTTTATTTTTAAACATTGCTAAAATCTCATGTCATCTCTTACATATTCTTTGCTGCATAGATATTCAATTCAGGAAGCAGTTTTCAAAAGTCACAAGACTGCTTCTGTCTTAACGACGCTGGTTCTTCTTTCTAAAACTAGAAACAAAAGAGAGTAATCTACTTCTTTTAATGCATTTTAACACACTTTTTGGACATGTATCTCCAGAGGAAACACTCAGCATTGATTTGGGTAAAGTTGGGAAGACTTTAATAGACGCATTCTAAAAACTTACCGCAGGCAGAGGGGTAGCAGTGTGCCGGACTCCTGGTTGAATTTAAGATGGACGCTCTCCAGCTGGCGAGTTCGGACCAGTTCATGAGGAACGATGGCTGCTGAGCTCTCGCTGTCCAAACTGTCCTTTCGACTTCTAAATAAATAAAAAATTTTAAATTAATGAATAATAGACTAAATGTAACTAACAATCTTTAAAGTGAAAGATCTCTTGATTGGGTTGTGGGGGGTGAGGGAAATGACGGGGCTTAGTCAACACTGGGGAATGTAGATAGAGTGCTTCACGGCTCCCGTCCCGCCTCTGCAGGATGAAGCTCATTCTAGAGAAAAGTGGAAACGAACAGCAAGCAGCCAACACGATATGCTGGTATCTTGGAAACAATGCTGCAATGAGCTCCGATGTCAGCGGGGCTCTGAGTCACTGTACATGAGGGAGGTACCTCTCTGGAACGGTTGAATGTGTGTAGGAGGAAGACTCACTGAGCTCTGTCGTGGTTCTGTTTCTGGCTGCCGATGGGCGGTAAGGCGCTCTTGGTGTTAAACTCTAGTCCTTTTCTCAGGGTCTCTCTGATTTGTTCTGTGTCTGTTGAGAGACGATCAAACCAGAGAAGAGGAGCTCTTAAACAATGGAAGCAAACAGATCAGCTTGCCAGTAAAACGTTCTCGCTTTACTCTTCTAGTTTTCAGGAGCTGGTGTACCTTTGTTGGAGAGCCTGCGAGGCTGTGATCCGATGCAGATGGATCGGCTGTCCTCCTCATCCTCTGGGGGCCGGCTCAGGTCGTCCCACACACACTTGGCGCTCACCCCACTCAGGTTGGAGCCCTCGGTTTCAATACCCTGATCAACTCTCTCCTGCTTGGATGTGCAGCAGACATTAACACTAGCTCAACTCTAACAGGGCTAACATATTAATGGTGTGTCTTCATGAATAAAATACCAGCCAGAAGTTCGATTTATTTCAAAAAATTCAGTGAAACTAATTAAACGGGTTCATAGCCCACAGATTGGTATGTTTCGGGCTCCCTTTTCAGTTTTCTCTGATTGTTGTGGCTTACAGCTAATGAAAACCCAACATATTAAGAAATGTTAACCTCCTGAATAGTAATGAATGTCCAAACACTGTAGGACACATCGACTCAATACCTCACCTTCTGCTGAAGTGAAGAGGGTCAGGGCTGCTTTAATAAAAAGCCTCAACTCCTATAAATTGTTGTTTTTTTTACACCAGCTGTCTTGATTTAGACAGGAAATAGGCTTTGAAAAGAGAGGAGAAAGACATGCAGCAAATGTCTCTGAGTCAAAATCTCCTACTGGACTTCATATAACATTGAAGATGCGACTCTCCTGTCATCTTCCAGAGATTATTACCATGAACTACAAAGTTTTATCTGGGAAGGGAATTTAGACCACTGAGAAGCGGTCCATGTTTAAGGAATCTCTTCCAAACTCCAGGACAGGTTTTGGCTATGTCCAAATGTCCACCTTCACCACTATATAGGGTATAAAGGTTACACCATTTTAGATGAGTGACCGACCCTCTAGTGGATGAAAAAGTACTGGACTCAAAATTTCCCACAATGCACCTTGAAAAGTAGGGATCATCCATGGTCACTAGATGAGCAGATATATCCCATAATGCTTTGCGAGGAGAGCTCTCTTCACAAAGCATTATGGGATTTGTTGTCAAAGCAACAACAAATAACAAAGATGGTGCAGGCACTGTAAGGGGGAGGCGGAGTCACATAACCAACGGGGAGCGAAAAGTACTGATCATCTGTCCAAACGGCAAGTTAACCGACTTTGAAATAAAGTCTAATATATAGTCCCCACTCTATACAGTGATTGAGGGATTTTGGGCGGACGTACGGACACAGCCTTTGTCTCACAATCCTTTCAAGATTGTTTTTACATATTTTTTTTACCACTTTATTTCCTAACAAAATGCCAATATGGAGTGGCTGTGTAGCTAATCAGCAGCCTTCCCCATGATTGTGGAAGGGGTAAGTGTTCTGAATTTTAATTATTTTTGTTATATGCTAGCCTTCTAAAAATGTTGCTCTTAATCAGTTATAAGCTACACTCCTAACAATAATTGCAAGGAAAGTAACTTGATGGTAACTTTAAGTTAATCCGGTTATATGTAATAAATGTTTAACTTTCAGTTTTTGAACTAACTGATGGATATAGGTTTACTTTTTGGTTAATTTTAATGTATCAGGATGCACAGGTATAAATTCAAACAACCAATTGACTCAGTAATTCAGCTTATTTTAACCTTCTACTAATAGAACAAATGTTGCAGGAACTACCTGCAGCAGATTTTAAAGAAACCTTACTTGTAGGTGAGGATCAATTTCAAAAATGGTCTCCCCTCTCCTCATGTCCGTGATGAGCCAGGGGCCGCCAGCTCTGTGGACCAAACAATCAACATCAGCATCTTCAAAAAACTAACAAAACACTAAAAGCCAACAATAGCCAAACATTTTATAAAATATAGTTAAACAATGTTGATCGCTCTTGAAGCTGATGCAGTTTTTCTTTAAAGAGTTGATCTGAGGGGGTTAAACTGCTGTATCCAAACATCTCCAGCAAGCAGGTAAAGCCTTTTCTATCCTTTTTAATCAATCAAAACCCATAACACAAAAAAATACTACATTACTCAGAACAGTAACCTTTTCACGCCTTCTTAGTAATATTTTTGGAAAGCCAGATTTTTTTCTATCCGGATTTCATCACATTGGTTTTCATTAGCTTCAAGGTGTTTAGCAATAATGTGCTCCGTTTTGACTAATCGATGCTCACAACACTGGAAGACAGGATTCATAAGTCTTTTAACTTTAGCCCATTCAGTTATGACTCAGAGCATTAAATAGAAGCTTTAAGCACTGTTTGACTTCTTTGTGACACTTTAAGATATTTCTGTAGGTTATTACACTGAAATAATCTGACGACATGATGCATCAGATTCCTGATTCAAGCTCTTGAACCAATTCCAACCCAGTCTGTGGATCCTTTCATCCTCGGCTTCACAAAAGCAGTTTAGACTTCTCCATGTAAATGTCAGTTTTAGATCAATTAAAAAGGTTCAAAGTATTATGCTTGGCGTCCAAAACTGTACCTCCTGCATCCAAAGCACATGTCCAGCAGTCATTTTTATATTTTTTAATGGGGCAATAGTGGTCGGAAGGCCTGGTGGAGCTTCAATCAATGTGTGAATGTCATAACGAGTTCTGGAGTCCCCTGATTTAAAAAGGAACTATACAATTACAAGACATTTACCGTTGAAATATAAAAAAATTTAGCAACAGTTCATTAGCCTGAATGCAGGACCACTGAATAAATGCTTCTGCAGGATAACATCTGAATCCCATGTTTTAATATTCATTTAAAAGCCTCCAGTGGAGATATTTTTTTTGCAGACCAGTCAACCCAAAACGCTTAGGAAAGACGGCATCGCAAAGGGCTTGAGATGACTATTGTATCATGACTGTATGCAGACTCTCCAGATATTTCATTCTAATGAGGTTGCATGTAATCTGCAGGAAGCAGGTCGGGTCCTGGAACACTCCACCCAACAATCCACAGGGACTCAAGTATCTACTGCTCCATATCCTGTACCAGTTACTTTAGCCCCCACTTTTCATCAGGCAGCAACTCCAACGCAAACATCCTAAGCAATGGCTGATTTTGGGGGGGTTCGTCACTGGATTTTAAAATATAACATTTTAAAACACTTGAAACTGTTTAATAAAACTGTAATTTTAAGCCCCAGAGAAATAACTTCAAAAGTTAAAAGTTTTTCGTGTCAGACTTGAGCTTCAAAATGTAGATTTTTTTTTTAGGGATAAATGCTGTCAGCCAGGAAAAATTGGATACGTTATAAGAACATAAAGTTTGTAATAATCTGTTCTAACTTAAGCTAAATAAATGGAAACTACATCAATCATAGAGACTTGATATAAGAATAAATAAAACTCTGAAATAACTCCTGACAAATGCTGTCACAAAACTTTACTCACATTCTGATTCCACGCATCAGCTCCAGGATGCCCTGTCCGTTCCACTGCTGGGACGCCTGCAGCTCTTCTGCACACACGCCCACAATCTATAGAGGATACAGAGCTTCAGATGGTGATGCACTGCTTAAATCATTACTGATGTTTTGTTTCTATTTATTAAAATTTGAAACACCTAATTTAAGTTTAAACATTAAGGTGCTGATATTGACCTACTGATAACTAAATACATTGACCCGCATTCAAATCTCTTCAAAACATACATGTTTTTTTTTTTTTATATTTATATTTTTTTTGTGTTTCTATCAGTTACCAAGGATTAATTTGACGAAACCAATGACTATGACCTGGATGACTGAGAATCTTCACCAGCAATCTGACAAAACCCAACTTTTTGTGCATTCAGTGACCTTCTCAAACTAAGTTCTGTGTTTTCCTTTATTGGATAAAAGGAATAAAAGCCAATGTGCGATGCCAATGCAATAAACTATTTTACCCAAATCCTATTCTACAGTCTCTCCTTAAAAATTAACACTGCATGCATATCTAATTAATTTATTCATCTGACGCTTTAAAGCTCACCTGAAGAAAGCTCACAGTTCCAAACGGGGTCTGGATTGGGTGCATCTGTGGGTCTTCAGTTAGCAACATGTGCTGGATGCGAGACTCGCTGTTGTCCAGCGGACTGTGCCATGACACATGGTCACCACTGCAAAATGTGTTTTCTGCAGGAAAATGGACAGAGAAGAAAAAAAAAAAAAGATGAGATAATCTTTGTGCCCGTCTACATGAAACCACTGAAAAGGAGCAACAGCAGCACAAAAGGGAGAGATGAAGTAGCAGGAAAGTAAAAACAGAAGAGAAACTGGATTCCAGATGTGAAATGCACAAAAAAATGTATTTCAATCTGACTAACTGTCTACTTGGGAGGTAATAAACGCCCTCACTACAGTGAAATCAAAACCAAGATAAGATGGCCAAGAATCAGTATTCATTTAAACTAAGGAGCCCACGCACAAGCAAATTAACCCCAGCTGGAAAGCAAAGCAAGAGCCTTAATTGAATATCTGTCCTCTCTTTCTGTAATGCTTTATGTCAGACCTCTCCCTTATTAACCAAACTGTAGGCTTTGACAAAATACGAAATTTTAAGGACCACAATAATACAAAAAACATTTTAACATTGCACTTAAATACCAAAGGACGGGGACAAAGGAAAAAAGACTTTCTAGAAATGCGAGGCCCTCAATCACACAATATGTCCTGAACCAAAACTGAAGGCCAAAGCAGACTCTTCTGTCCAGTCATAATAAAATATGTTAATCTAATAACCTACAATAAAAAAAGACAAAAATAACTGAAAAGAATCAATGTTTCACAAATGACTAGACTGAGCCTTGACTTGATTTAAACAAAAAACTCATAAAGATGGACTTACAACTCATAATATTCAATTTAAATGATTTGGAGTGCATTAAATATCATCACTTATCCTAAAAGTTCAAGGCAAAACTTTTTAATTTTAAAGAAATCTATAAGATCACTGCTTCGTGCTCTTACCTGACTGGAAGACATAGCGAGCCAAGCCTTGCATGAGTTCTGCTGGCCACGTTGGAGGTGCTGTCTCTCCCACCTCTCTCTTCAGTCTGAAGGTTAGCTCAAACCCAAACCCGCTAGGTCCATCTGCTCCTGTAAATCTGGAAAAGTTGGAAAGAAGAGCCAACAATAACTGCATGTTTGTTTAATCTTAGCTGCTCAGGGATTAGCAAAATCAACACACTGCAATAACTGTGATGGGTCATTAAGAGGTCTTTGAATCTGTAGATTTATTTACTTTGTTATGCACAGTTAAATTCACTTACTCATGAACCCGATTATCTCCATACAGATCACTGAGTCCAAAGCTGACATAGTGCCAGTGTTCCTGGACGTCCTGAGCTGGACAGCCGGTGTTTCTGTACATGCTGATGTAGTCTAATGGGTCTGGTCCACCAAGCCTGGAAAAGGAAAACCACTGACCATCACTGGACTAAGCTCGCTGTGCAACAGTTTCAGTTTTATTTCTCCACATAAAAGCAACACTAAGAAACTATAACTATGCTTAAATAACACTGACCGCTTTCATATTTAGTTTTTGAAATAAGTTATGAGGTTTTGTATTTGTCTTAAATATATTCCAGGAGTGTTCATGTTAGCATTTTGAGCTAAGCTAACATCAGGCTATTTCTTAGCCTTTGACAAACATTTATCCAACAAACTATTAGCTAGAGTGAGTATGTATTAATATAAACTAGCCCAACTGATAAGCGGCGTGTTACCTACCAATATTTAACAATGGCAGTAACTTGCAGCGGGTTAGCCTGGTCGGGGTAAAGTCGCCGACATTCCCCATATATAGCCTGCAGTCCGGGAGGAAACAGTGGTACCAGCCCGTGGGCTTGCGCACCACTGTTAGGCCGTATTTCATCCATACTACGGCCTCAAACAAACCGGGTTGTTCGATAAAAATAAACCCAGATTGTACAGAGTTGTTTTATCGGTTCCCCCCGATGAACAAAGGTAGACAGAACTACACAATAAATGTCCCACAAACAATAGGATCCATAAGTCTTTGGTCAGACCACTTTGCTAAACTCTTGTTGCTCCTGCTACGGGGAAAAACCGTTAGCGATTGGTGGGTGGAGGATGTTACGTCGTCAGAATGACGGCTGATTATAACCAATACAGAAAGAGTATAGGATTAGTGGATGATTATGATTGGGTGATCCAGTGAAAGTGGGCGGGCCCATTAGTAAGGTTGGGACGCTATGGGCAATGAAAATGTGGAAGTTTCTCTGAAAAGTGTGCGTTTAATCCTACGCCCATGATGCCTACGCTTTTTACAAAACAGAAAAGTATTAATACACAGTGATACATTTGAATACCAATAATTAATAATGTAAAACAAAAAAAAACAACAAATATACATCCCTATATATATATATATATAATTCCAACTTTATAATATTGTCATAGTGACACCATTAGCTAGGAAATATTCCATTTCTTGTGATTTTTCTTCTAGGGGATATTTTTAAAGGTTTTTAAAGGATCTTTAGAGTCTCCTCTAGGGATGTTTTCTTTTTTTTTTTTTTTCCTGTATGTGTTTTGTAACTCTTGATTCTTGATTGGGTTGGGCTAAATGGTCACATTGATTACTTTAAAGCAGACTGTTATTTCAAGCATTTATTTATTTTAAGCCATATATATATATATACATATATACACACATTCTGCTTAATGATAATTCATGTCTTTGTTATATGTGAAATCAGATGAATGACTTTTGCAATCTGGCTTTTTTTAAGAAGCGTGTTATCACTGTAATTTTTAATATAATTTTTTTTTGTGTGTGTATATCCAAAATATACTGACATTTTGAAATTGTCCGGGTTTCATTTTGGGTGACATTGTGAAACATCTTCGATGAATGAAAAGGAAATCTCAAGAATCTAAAAAAAAAAAAAAAAAATGCTACTCCTTTATTTCCTTTCAGATGCTTTAGGTATAAATACGTGAGTAGAAAAACGTGTTAGGATAACACACAGAATATGGGGTAACCAATGAAATGGGAGCTATTTTTAATAATTATTGTATTATGTTTAGAAAAAAAATGAATATTATTACTACCGATCAGTGGATCAGCATGATGCAGAATATAAATCCTCATGTTGTATCCTATGCCATACACATATACAACATAATAATACCTTGAATAAGCATATATGTCATATATTGAATTCAGATAGTACCAAAATGTTTAGAAAAATTGACAAAACATATTTAATGTGAAAGTGCACATCTATGTAAAATATATTTAAGCCCATATGAACAAATACAGACAAGGCTACCCTTTATTCAGAATGAACAAAGACAATTAGGCAAAATATTTCTGTCTGAATATTTTATTTAAAAGTATGTCATGTTACATAGACAGAGGATTAACAACCCATGCACAAGTAAAATACATAACAGTGAAAATTATTGTTTTCATGTTTGATATGACTTTTTTTTACAATATCAAATAAACTTTTGGTTAATATAACATGTGTTAGGATTTGTGTATAACAAGCTGATCAATAAAGATCAGCTCAGTTGCTACCATACAGTAAATAGTATTGCTTAACTTAACTTAAATTAAACCTAAATATACAAATATCAAGTTAAGTCTTTCCAAGAGTTAAATGAACTCATATTATTTCCATTATGCATTGATAAAACATGTAATGGTACAAGAGAGACCACATTTCCTACCCCACATGATAAACAGGGGACTCAAAAACAAAGTACAACCCCCAGGATGACGTCCTCCTACGCTGTAGCTCTATCTTTGTAAAATAAACATTTCTTAAATTAGGCAGCCATCATGGTCTTCTCTGATTTTATTGAAACTTTGAGAGAATGTATACAAAATAAAAATAGAAAAAACGCTTTGATTCAATCACTCAGGGCAGTACACTGTAGTAAATGGCAACAGCTAAAAGTGTAGAACAAAACTAATTTCATAAGAGCAAACGTCGCTTTTGTGCAGGCGTAAGGGAATAATAGGACGAAACTAAAATTAATCAGATTTGAATCTGAAAGTTTCAGCCTGGATCTTATGATGTGGCAGTCCTAGCGCTATGATTCATAGGATAGGTTTAACATTAATATTTGCTGTTTCAGTCTTCGTAGTGTTTGGTTACAAACCAGTAATGCAGGTATTTTTTTCAGTTACAGCGTTATAGAAACTACACACTTTTTTCATTGACATTCTGTTTTCAAGCTGTATTTGAGAATATTGTTTCATCCACAAAAACAGAGAAGGCAAGGAAACTTTTCGCGATATATGAAGGCCTCATAACTCCTTTTCCATAGTTCTTCAGAAATTTTATTAAATACAGATCAGCCATAATATTTGCTCAAATATTTTACCACTTGTTGCAAATTACAGTCACTGTTACTATTAAATTTAGCGCCAAATACTGGGAAAAAGTGAGGGCAGCTATTGTACAGATTTTTCAAAATTCTTTGAATTTTACCCATCTGCTTATGATACATATTAAAAGAAATCCAGTCTGACTTTTTATTAACCTAAAATTCGAGCTCAACTAAACAGATAAAAAAAAAAAAAAACATGAAATCAAAACAATTATCAGTTTTAATGAATTTAGAGGATAATGAAGGCCACTCTCTGATTTTGTAAAACCTGCTGGACAAACCAGTACCAAGCCAAAAGAACTGAGCCCATAGATGACCCCTTCACATGCCACCATCTATGGAATTCAGTTCTCACAGCAGAGCACCGATCAGCACGTGGCCCTCAGGAGCGCCTTGATCCTCCAACGGCAAACCTGTCAAAAGAAACTCACATCTCAGCATCAGTGCGGTAGATCACAGCCCTATTAGTGATGCCAAAACATTATAGAGTAAATACATCCGCAGTATAATTACTAAGTTAAGCAGGAAAAAGGGAGTGTAAACCAACCCCTTGTTACCAGGCAAGCAGAGTGACAAGACACCCATCCCCATTTCTCAAGAACAGCAGAGTGAGGATGAGATGATAACGTCAGCTTAGCCTCTTCCATGGTAAGATTGAGCAAGAGACCATTACTGTGGTGACTAAACTTGGCCTCAAATAATTAATAATCACTTAGTAGAGTATGTATATATATTTAAAGCAAATGCAACTATGCTTTAGATTAAAACATCCGACAAGGAGACTCATTTCCAAGAGTAATATTTAAGTTATAATAGTCTTTACAAGTGAAACTATTCAATATATTTCCTTCTGAAGTTTGGAATGCGCCAAACTTCTGCTTAACTCAAGGGTTCCTGGAAGCTCCACCGAAACGAAAGGTTATCAACGGGGCTGATAAAAGTACTTACTGACTGGGGTGATGGTCAAGAGATGAAATGACTCATCAGCTACACTGCCAGGAAAGGAACTGCTGTGGTCATTGTGCTTTACAGCCACACACACCACATAGACACATGAGTTTGATATTAACTGTGGTACAGATCCCCCTCTGAGCTCGGCTGAAAAATACCTCATCCAAGGCCTGGAGTCAATATTGATAAAGGCAGTTGAGATTATTTAACTATTTGAATGTTAGCTCACTAATGTTGGTTTATGCATTAAAAGCCTTTGCTCAGTTAGGTTTGAATGCAGTACAGGAAGCTTTCTAAGGAAGACCACACCTGAGCATGTTTGGGAATTGCCTGGCGGTTAAAGAGGGAGACAACAGGTTAAGCAGGCCTGCTAATGGACAGGAAACATCCATTCATCAAGACTCACACAGGAATTAATCACTGATACAGTATCAGGTCCTGCTGGCGTTCAAGCACTTAGTTTCATTTTTAGAAACTCTATACACCCATGTATTCTAAAATAAAAACATGTTAAAAGTCTGTCTACGTACCTGAAGAACATCTTTCCAAACCCTGGATGTATCTGAAACAAAACTCCCCATTGAAGCCAGGATTTTCCAGGTTAACACTCTTCAGCAGTCATTGCTTAAAGCCTTGAAGCTGTTTTTCTTTTTTTTTTACACACAACCCTTCAAAAATGCAACTGCCTCTGCAGCTCCATCTGACATGAACTCCAACTCCCAAGAAAGGATGAGGTACAGTGCCTGGCATTCGCAGCAAATGTGCTTAAATAGCACCTTTCTGCTTCACCCATCAAACCTCCCTCCTCTCTGTTTTTCATACACTCCCTCCGTACGGTAAGCCTGACAGTCACTTCCCAGTAAGAAGGAAGCAGTGGGTGTGAACAGCACGCCCCCTCACAATGAATCAACACATAATAGTTTCTGAGGAAAACCATCTGACTTGCCCTGCCCCCTGTTCCCATAAAGAAAGCAGGGGAAAGGCTGTGTCTACTCGAGGAACCAGGAATTCCCCCGCAGGCCACAAAACAGCTGTCAAGCTGACTCTATGACGAAGCGGACGCACTGGAAGTTTGTCGGTCAGTTTCTGCAAACAGAAACTGTGTTAGGGGGTCCCTATAGTGTTTTATTCTGGAATGCATTTACACAATAGGGAGCTGGAAAGTCTGCAGATACCCTCGTGGGAGTTCAACGGTGCAGTCATGTTAATAAAGTTGCTGACATAAGGTTTCAAAAAGATAAGTTTTGTGCAATATAGTTCATCAGGCAGGAATGTAAAAGCAGGTGGATTTCTGCCACACTCTTACTGACACATATAGCCTGAGATAAGTCTGTTTGCTATGCAGGCTAATTCGAACATGATAGAGAAATATCTCCTTCTTCATAGAGTCCTATTGTTCGGTGAGCAGTAGGGGAAAAAAAAAAACAAAAAAAAAAACAAGAACTGATTTCCTCATCCTCTTCAACTGCTACCTAAAGTACAAGCTACTAGTCTAGACTTGAAGCTTTGTTCCTCAGAAAAATCCCTGTGAAATTTATTCACTGGATTTCCTTGTTCTCTACCAAACGGGGATTCCATGTGGCATTGGGAAAATAGCACGTAGTTCCCTACTCCATGCTTGGCTAAGTGACTATGCATATTTCCTCAACCTAGACATGCCTCAAACGTGTCAAGACTCATTGTTTAGGAGTGAGACCCATTAGGCTCATATATCCAGAAAAATAAGAGGCATATAGACCTCCAAAGAGTCCCCCAGGCGATTGATGTACGTTGAATCTAGCATCCACTTTCAAACTCCGTCCCCAGACCTGCAGGATAGGTTGCAAGTGACATTTTGTGCTGGATGGCCGAAACAAGCCCTGCTTTCATGCTGGTGTTTGAACACTGGGGAAAACACTCGCAAAGGTCACTGAGCCCATTTCCTTTCTTTCGTCCAAATGCATATAAAGACCCCGAATATCCCCTTTTAAGATCACTTCAGTTACTGGCCTATTCAGGTTTCTTTAAAGGAAGTAAAATGCTAAAAGAAAACAAGACATTTTGTAAGTCATTTTTCAACGCTTCATTCTAGATTTATAGAAACACAACAGGTGCACAGAAAAATCAACTGGTGACTGAAATGATCCAATTCAATTCAGTTTATTTATATAACGCCAATTCAAAACACACATCATCTCAAGGCACTTTACAATTCAACCAGATCAGAGTCAAATTGATTCAAAGTTTTCCTTCTAAGGAAAAACAGTTGATTGCATCGAATTGTTGACTCGAAGGCAATCCCTCACACCAAGAATGCTTGTAGCGACAGTGGAGATGAAAAACTCCCTTTTAACAGGAAGAAACCTCCACTAGAAATGGGCAATTGAGCAGATGTCTTTTTTTTTTATTTTTTGCTACCATTTTTGATAATTGGTTAGCTGGAAACTAACACGCGTAAACATCTAAACCTCATCTAAACCTCAATCAGTCGCTCTTCAGTGTGAATGTGATTAGGAAGTGAAGACCTCTTATTAGTGTTAAAAATATGTTAGATGTGGCACAAAATGATTGGCAAGCTCCTTGAAAAGGAAGCATTCGTTCATTCTACTACCAGGATCTACTGGAATTTACAGAGGAAGCTTTGTAGATAACAGGAAGCTGACACACTACACCAAAGTTAAGCCTATAGCAAAGCAAAACGGAGATGAGATCTTTTCTATGTCACATTTATATCTCCTAGATATAAACGAGCACTGATTGAGACAAATGGTTTTCTCCTCCTTCTCAAATTTCTCTCCCGAGAAAAGTCTCAGTGTGAGCGTTGTGCGAGTTCTCTAAATTCTCTTATATCTCTTTTTTTACGGATCTTAGATAAGAGAAAAATGAGACATATTGTGCCAATTTCGAATATGTCTCATTTTAATACCCTTGCTTAGATCCACTGTCTCAGTTATGGCTCAGTAAGAAATAAACATACAGTCACTGCTCACTATTTGTGTTCTCAGATTCATCTCATCTTATTCTCTTTAATTCCCATTCAAACAAACAAGACATAATTGAGATCAGATGCATATGATTTTGAGATCTCTTTTCCTAATCTCACTTCTGAAATGGTTTTCTCCACTCAACCTCCTTATGTCTTTGTGATGTCTTTTTAGCTTATCTCTTGCTCCTACCGGACCTTTAGATGAAGTAACTCAGGAACAAATGATCACAAAATGATACGAATATGAATAAGCTCTAACTGATCTCAAGAAATGGGATTGAACAACAGATGAGCAACAGATTTTTCCTATGAACCCTTTCAAAAAGTTTGTCCAGGGACTTGTTGAATTAGGAATAGTTGGTGTTTTCACAGTTAAGGGTCTACATACTCTACAACAAACACATGCTTTTGTCTAAAATATTAATGCTAACTGCACTAACAATGTTTAATGCCAACATAAGATGTTAAAGACGGGTTAAAATATTCTCTCTGTAACTTTTAATCAGATTTTAACTTTGTTTTAGAACAATAGGGACATTCTGTTGACTGGTCCAAATGCAATAAGTTGCTCATAACAAGCCCTGGGCTGCTATGAATTTCTCATGGTATGTCTACAATAAATACATAACACAAGTAAAACTTATGTTTAAAAAGTTTCAAGGTGTTCTTTCATTCAGCTGACTGTCAGAGTACAGCACTAGGAGAAGCAATGAGGCGTACCACCAAACGTCAAACTTGCATCACTGTGCCACTTCCTTTTATCTTGATCATCTGTATATGGTGTAACTTGAGTCTCCAACAAATGGGGTATTTTGTTAAATATTCTAATATGACTTTCAAAGGTCTAGTTTTATGTGGCACACTCCCACAGCTCTACTATAAAAAACATGAGTAAACAAGTGACACTTAATGGAACAGTTAGTAATCTGGAAACTGTACTTTTGTATAACCTCAGTATACCTATAAATATATACCTGTAACCAACAGAGGTCTGTTACCAACCATAGATCTGCTTTAGGTTCAGAAATAGTTCCAGTAACACATAACTCTAAACCACAGCTTTCTCCTATGGAATATGGTACACTTCTACATTTGAGTTGTACAGAAATAGTTAAACTATAATCTTTTTTATTAAGGGATTTTCTGACTCTTTTGACTTTTATTTCCATATAGGTCAGCTTTGTGACTTTGTTTTTGTGTAATGTTTGCAAAATGATAAGCAACATGGCCAAAAGAGAAGTAAAAGGGAGTCTATTTCTTTATTTTTCATGGATCACAGAGAGAAATCGATATCCACGTCAGCTTTACCAAATTACTGGCTGAAAATCAGCCACAAAATATGTGACTGAGTCAAACTTATAACATATTTCTCATGCAAGGGTTCATCATCTGTAACAAGTTTGTGTATAGCTGACATTTCCTGGTCAGAGGTCTTTGGGCTTTTTAAATTGCAGCACCACTACGTGTCTCTGCAGGCCTTCAGCCCCATCCCACAGGTGATTCAGGGAGAAAACACCCCTCTGCTCCACGAACGTCTCAAACAGATGTAGGCCGCCGCCAACACCAAAGTAGTGGGATTTGGTAGCCAGGTATACCAGGCCGCCGGGTGCCAGAAGCTGGTGAAGAGTTTCATGCAGGGCAGGGTAGTAGCAAGTGTTGTAGATTGTCTCTGAGGTGAATATAATGTCAAATTTGGGCTGTGGCTTCCTCTTTAGAACCAAAGGAAGAAACGTCCTCCAGTCTCCAGAGTAAAAATGGCATTTCTCCAATAACGAGTGTTTGGATAGATCTGTTACTCTTTTCTTAGGAGGTGGGCTGTTAGCATTTGAGTCATCTTTCCCTTTCTCTGCACAACCGTCTTCATCTTGTTTTTTTCCCTTGCCCTTCCCCTTTTTCTCACCATCACTTTCTACCTCATCATCCTCTTGGCAGTTCAGGAACACATTTGGCACTGTGAGCTGTTCAATGACTGTGCTGTTGTAATCTTGAAAGAGGACCATCCTGGCTCCTCTCTTTAGGGCCAATATTCCCAGAAGTCCTGCTCCACAACCCAAATCCAACACTGCCTTTCCCCTGAATGTCTCTCCCTCTTTCTCCATCAGCTCCAGGATGTCATAAGTGCACTCCCACACTTTCAGACCTCCTTCGTACACACCAGAGATGAGATCAGAGTTCTTCTCCTCCCTGCAAGAGAGGATTTTCTCCACGTCCTCTCTTTCGGAGGCCGTCCTCTCGAAAATGGTCTCATTGAGGAAGTGCAGAGGAGGAAGGGTTCCAATGGTAACGGTTTCAAAGACGGCATCTGTAAGGAGGAACTGGGGGTCCAATGGAGGAAGGTGCTCTTTGGCCTCTTTCACTGGACCGGCTGATGATTTATCTTCAACTTCTGCCTGCAACAGAAAGTAGCATAAATTAGCAAATTTATTTAATGTGATTATGAGTTTCAGTTAGACGTGCTGGGTTTTAAATTAAAGAGACATTTATTTTTTTAGATCTTGACTTGAGTGATAATCTGCGTGTTCCCACATCATCTGGATAGCCTGTTTGTCATCTCTACGCATCTGTGAAAAACGAGGTAGCATATCATGGCAGAGAATTAAGAAAGCTGGTTAAAGGCTTTGAGTAACACCACATGACTCTTAGGTAGGGATGTCCCGATCAGCATTTTAGGCCTCCGATTCTTATCCGATCTTTTAACCTCAAATCCGATCCCATTTCGAGTCCCTATACGATATTTTTTCTTTAGTAGTGAAATTGATTAAACTTAAATATATTTTGAGCAAGTCACTCAACTTTTTATTAGACTAATATTTGATCATTACTATTATTATTGTACATCCAAGAAAATCAAAATTTTACCCAGAATTAAGGTCAGCTTCAATTTAATATTTTCCACAAAAGTAAAAAGAAAAATACTGACTTGGTACAGTATTATCAAATAGAAAGTGCTATCCAAGATCCACTTTTAGCTTAATAGTGCTTAATATAGGCTGCCATAAAGTCAATAGAAATAAAGTGCACTGACCACTGAGCAAATGTAAAATGCCCTTGCTCATCTTAAATGCGGTGTAAACAGATTGACAAATAGTCACAAATAAGTAAATTAATTTGAAACATCTCAATCCAACTTAAAAAGTAACTAAACAGAATTCAATCAAATGAATTCAAAACTTTAGGACTGCAACTAAAAAGTAGCATGATCACTGAAACATGATCAAAATCAACAAGACCATTCTTCAGTAATGAACAAACACGTACGTAGCCCTAAAAACAAAAAACAAACCTGAATACTTAGTTATAATAACCACAATGCTCTTTCCAGTTATGCTTCCCTCATATCTTAGTTCAGCCAAGTTGTCAAGAGCAATAAATACGACCAACCTTTCTGTGATCTTCTTTGCTCTATTATTTTTGTTGGAGTATTTGTCTCTCCACATAACGTCCAGCGTTTGTTGCTTTGCTTTAGTAACCTCTCCTTCTGCAGCTTTACAAAATGCTTCATACACATTGTCATGTTTTGTCCTCAAATGACGAATCAAGTTCATGGTGTTAAATGTATCTCTGCTGCTACCTCCTCTTGAAATTGCCATGTTGCAGACATTGCAAGTAGCTTTAGGACAGTAAAATACTTCCACACTTCTGACATGTTTGCTTTGCATTGCACAACTACCATCAACCGTAACTAGCAGGTACTTTGCAGCAGTTGCCGTAAAGATCGACGCGACTAGTCAGGTAATGTAGCCGATCTCCGATCACGGCAAAATAGGAGACGATCGGGCCGATCCGATCTCGAGATCCGGATCGGGAAATCCCTACTCTTAGGTGATTAAAAACACCAACAAAAAAAAAAGTAGACATTTACCCATCAGTCCTCCAGGGGCTTCAAAACTATAAATTCCCACCATTTGTGGTTCATAAATGCAGCAACTAGCCTTATTTTTTCATTATTTCTTTCCTCAATAACAATACAACACTTTAGGGGCACATGACCATGAAGTTAAACATTCTTGTAGTGCTTTAGATTTTAAATTCTTCTAAATTCCCAACTACTACGGGGAAAAAAACAAAACAGCATCATATTATTTTTGTGAAAACGTGAAATGGTCAAAATAAGAATCTTAACCAAAAATCTTGAAGAGGATAAGCATATCTTTACAGATAAAGCTTAAGGCATATCTGATATTTTTTCCTATTGTCAGCTTTCTTTCTTTCTTATAATAATCTAGCAATGACATGACGACAGAGGTGGCTGACTGGTTGCTAAACTTGAACATGAGACTGTTTCCAATCACCCTTGTGATTCACTATGTGACTTAAAAAAACAGTTTGGAGTTGTCATGTGGGTTGCACCCACAGGCACAGAACAATTCTGGTAAAAAAAAAAGAAAGAAAGAAAAGAAGAAGAGAGCTTTCAGTCTGTTTCTCTACTTCAGTATCATTCAGTAGTGATCCACAGTCTGCCATCAGCAGGAACAAACTTTTTTTCTTTTTTTTTGTGTAACATTTTTTCTTCCACCCTTTGTGGAAGATTATGAACCAACGCTCTCTAGTGGTAAACAGTCAACATCTCCTTACTGACTTCCTTTTTGTACACAAACAACTCAGGCTGTCACACAGAAATGCTGCTTTTGTTCCCTTTTCTTATAAAAGACAGATGCTTTTGATTTAAATAACTGTTCTAGAGGGAAAAGAAAGTCAGTCAGTGGAGGATTCCACATCTGACAGAAAAAAATGGCTTTCCATATGTTGTATTATTGAAAAGATATATATATATATATTAATATAAATACAGAACTGTAAAAATTAGGGCTGAAACAATCGGATTAATCGATTAATGAAATAATCATCAACTGATTTAGCAATCGATTATTCGTTAACTGGAATATAGACTGTAAAATATCCCTTTAGTTGACTCCCTTAAAACCCACTTAGAGTAGTAATTATATCAAAATTGTGGAAACATTTTAGTTTCATCTGGTTTAATTTCATTAAAAAAATCTTCTAGTCAAATGTAAAAAATATATTATTTTTATTCACAGTTAAAAGGGGTAAGATCAGCAGCACATTAGGGAGATGAGGCAACATTTGGAAGGAATGTTTTCCCTGTTTAAACAAATGAATGTTTAGTTTATCAGAGGCCTTGAAAGGGAAGACTAAAGCAGCTTATGAGTCTGCTAAGGACTTTGAGAAAGTTTTAAAGAATTTGACAACTCTTTCAGCCCCATATATGGGAGAAAAAAACAAAAACAAACCAACAAAACAAAAGACCCCCGTCCTAGTCAAAGTCCGATTTAAAAATCATTACGTTACTATACTACAATAAAAGTGTGTGTGGACCAAACATTTCAAAATAAATGACACCCCCAAAAAAGTCCTGATTTATAAAACCATCCATATGCACAAAACCAAACAGTTGTCCTTTATAAATCCCAGCTGTACCTCAAAGTTTGCGCACAAAGCACCTCTTCATGTTCGACCCTCTACTCGGCCACATTCAACCATACATGCAAAGCACAGCATAAATGTTATTGTGTATTTAAAAATCACCCAGCTGATCAATGTTATTTCATGGTTACCAATATGCAGTGAAGAAAGTGGCAAGAAAAACCCTGGTTGAACGGGGCAGAAATGGATGTGATTGCGAGTGAGCTGGAAGGTGGGATAAATATGCTGGTAGCCACAGCTGAGGGAGGTACTATTATGACTAACTGAGAGTCTGATGTAGGACTGGTCATATTGACGAGAGCAGGCAGCATTGAGCTTCATTGCTGGCTGGGATATCTCAGCTTTATAGATAAATTCATAGAACTTGGTTCCTAAAAGTGGATTTAGGTAGAGTCCATTGATTGTATACTATGTTCACAGACTCATCTTTTAGTCAGATATTTCCTGATCTCTTGTGGAGATTGACTGCAATGTCATTTTATTATCTCCTACCTATAATTCATGAAAATGTTCTAAATTGTATATATACAGATTTGTTTTTATATTTAATTCTGTTTCTTTAGAATCATGCACCCACCGACTCCCCCTCGCTATTTTTATTGATCTATTTTACATATCCACTCATTAGCCATTCATCATTATGATCCAGATAATCTTGATAATGCCTGAAAAGGCATTCTCTCCTAATTATTCAGTTCCCCACTTCAGTCACTGTAATCTTTATTTGGAAAGGTTATATTACTTAGACCATTTCATGAAACAGTTTGTAAAATATCTCTGTTGGATAATGTCTACCACCCCATGCATGAAGCTGTCGCTGAACTGGAGAGCTCCTTCAGTGACAGACTGCTGCACCCTAAAGGCACCAGGGCGCATTATCACAGATCCTTCCTCCCAGCAGCTGTAAGACTTTAGAACCACCACTGTTTCCAACAACCTAAATAAGTTGTTAAATTCGTGCTTATTTTTGCACAGTTTCTACCTTAGTCAGTTAAATAACGTGCTGCTGTCATTTTGCACATCTCTGATGTTGCTGTTATTTTAAAAATATCCATTACTGTAAAAATGTCCACAGCTGTGTAATGGTTATTTATTCTCTAGGTGCATAGTTTTATATTGTGAAAAACAGTTTCAAGTACAGCATTTTATTTGCATTTTGTTTTTTCTTACTCTTATTTACACAATTATGTTAGTTTTATACACTCTGAGGTCCAGATTTGTGTGATAATTTTTCTCTGTTATCTTCTTGCTGCTGTAAAACCAGAATTTCCCCATTGTGGGACAATAAAGGAATTTTCTTTTCTTTTCTATTCTATTCTTTTCTATAACTACCTCAAGAGGGCAGGCATTCAAAATTCTAACCAGATAATGAATATTATCAAAGCAGTGGTAATATTTTAAGATATTAAGGAGATATTACCAAAAATGTCTATTTGCATTATTATAAATATTAAATAATTTGGGGGTTAGATATAATTAATATTGATCTCCTCAAATGTTTAAGTTAATTTAGAAATACATTTCGAATAAGTAATTCTATAATTTAGAATTTCATACATTTAATAATAATTACAAAAACATTTTGTTCTGGTTTGATTAGTGTAGGAGAAGGACAGAAGTAGCAAACTCGCCAGCAGAGATGGATTTATTAGCTCTATTTATACAGCTTCAGAAAAGCCGTTTTATAAACTTTCTAATGGAAAAAAACGTAGAAATTACTAAACACTCAAAGAGTTCATATATGCACCAAAAAACTTTAGACCTGTGTTGGATCAGATGCTAACATCATCCCAACAAAAATGAACTTCTGCTCCTCACTCTTAGCATCAAAATAGCTTTAGAAAAAAGTACTACAATTACTTACATATTTCTGATCTCCCTCCTTTTCTTCGCTTTTTGAATTATCTCCACTAACTTCTGCAGGTAAGTTTGTTTGCGCTGAAATGTCGAAGTTAAAGCAAAAAGACATGACTGAGATCGGACAGACAGGCTAGCTAGTTGAAGGTGAAACCTCTCCACATGTTGTTCCTGCAGAAAGACTTCAATTCCCAGAATTCCAGAGTCAAGCGACCCATTTTTTTTTACTTTATTTACGGAGTCTTTGAATAAAGTTTGACTTGTTATACAAATTTAACTAAACGGAAATAAACACACTGAAAGAAAAAATAATTACGAAAAATAAAAACAGCTCTAAACGTAACGCTCTGTTCCTGACTCAGATACCCATGATGCCTCGCGGTAACCCTTCAGCGCATGCGCAGTAGCGTTAGGTCAGGATTCAGCTGTAAACTGTGACAGCTCTCGGATCACACTCCTGCTCTAAAATAGCAACAATGCTGCTTTACCTTGAACTTAGCGATGTCTACCACTAAGGTTAAGTCAGTGAGGTCCTCTGCTTCATACCAAGGTAGGTTCTCCTTAAAATGCCGAAAAATATCAGTCAATATGAGCCTCACACACTGGCTGCTGCTCTAATGCTGCCTGACATCCAGACAAAAGGGATTTAGGAGTGTTTTTTATGTTGCAGATAGACAGTTAACTGGCAGCGTTATATGCATAAGTGGCTTTGCTTTCATAAGGTGGTGATTATAGGGGCTTTGCAGGTCATTGTTGCATATCCCGCCACTGACTGATTGAGTAAATCTACTGGTGACAGAAATCTGGTGTATTTCAGACCCCTGCCTCTTCATTTCACCTGAACAACTAGAAGGATCTCCACCCAGACTCCACCCTGTTGGGAATGCTGTCTAACTAGACTGCCCCTCCTTTTTTAAACCATGTTAGACAAATGTATGCTTTGTCCTTTATTCATAATTACTTTTTTTTAAATGTTTGTGATCATTTATCTTTTTCATTTGCATTTTTAGTTGTCGGGGTGCCTGATTATAGTTCTGCTGGTTTTCAAATTAAATTCTGTCTCATATTCTTAGTTGTTCAAGTTTTGGATGTGCATTTATAATTTAGAAAAAGACCAGGAGAGATGGACATTAATAAAAAGGCGCAAATATCTATGATTGGGGCATTTTTGAAAGGCAAGATCTTCTAATTTGGGACTGTGAGACATTAAGATTTAACGAAACCCGTCCACTATATTATTCTATTCTTGTAAGCATCTTTTAATTTACGAATTTTAAGGTACGACGATCTTGAGTTGTACTTTTGTATTAACTAAAAAATGTAAAGTGCTTTCGTGTAAAGCAACATTTGTTCTTATTGTATAAGAACAACACTCATACCCAATCAATAATACATTGGAATAATTGTGGTTATTATGGTGTTACTGCTGAGCATCACTGGTGATATAAGAGCAGTGGTGTCAAAAGTACTCACATTTGTTACTTAAGTAGAAGTATAGATACTGCAGTTTGAAAACACAGAATCAACTTGACCTCTTTACTCAAAGAAAAGTGAAAAAGTATGTGCTCCAAAAACTACTTAAAGTATAAAAGTATAAAGTTACCTTAAAAAAAAAACAGCCAGATGCCACTATATGAATTGAAAGCTCAATTTTTCAACTATTTCTAAAAATTCTTTGAGCTAGGGCCAAGGATGAGGGAGGTCTTGTTGGTCTCTGAATCCATCTCCCGATACGCTCTCGCCTGTGTCCGACCTTTCAGACATTTCAACATCTTTTTCTGAATCCTACATTGTAGCATAGCATAGACAATTCACCTTTGCAGTTTGAAGAACACCTGCTGGCTTCTGATGATTTCCTTTAGCTAACCAATGAGTGTTTGCACTCAGACATGGGCAATGTGGAGTCAACAAATCATCTCCATGTCATGTATTTCATCTACCCAGCCAATTAACCAGGTGAGTCCAATCTACACAGGTTAATTCACGGTGAAGATTGGACTCACCTGCTTCAGTGGCTGGGTAGAACAAAAACATGACATGGAGATGACTTGTTGGCTCCACATTGCCCATGTCTGTTTGCACTATACGACTCATCCAATTACACTAGTTTTCACTAGATGTGAATGGCACCAATGATCTGCATTGGATGGCGCACATGACGTGAAATAAATATTGAAATAAATATTTATAAACATTAAAGCGAAGCCAAGAGTAACGAGTAACGTTTGTTTGTAACGTTACTTGTTTGTTGTAACGTAAGTATAGATACTTGTGTGAAAATGTAATGAGTAGAAGTCAGAAGTAGGGGGAAAAATAAGTAATGGAGTAAAGTATAGATACCTAAAAAGTGTACTTAAGTACAGTAACCAAGTATTTGTACTTCGTTACTTGACACCTCTGTGTAAGAGTACTGCGAAGCTACATTTATCTTTATTTATCTCTTCTTAAATAGAGGAAAACGTTTAGAAGCATTTATCCATCAACAGCAAACAGCAACAGATGAGGGAGGGGCAGCTTTCCATTGTTATACTCCACATGAAAACCTGGTCACTCCATTACTTCTTTGGTATGCCCTGATACTTCAGCACAATACCTAATATCTTATGTGGAGTTGTTGTGAAATATACCTAAAGATTTTCAGGAATCGTGAGTAAATAAACTCATTATCGTCATTTCGTTTTATCTCTGCAGGTACCTCCTCATTACAAATGCAGGATGCGTTGCAGTCCCAGCTCCATGCTCAACCTGTTACGCACGGGGCGCTTGCGGTCATGCAGTAGGCGAGGGAGGAGCAGACTCCCCTTGTGGCTCCGGAAGATATGGCTCTACCTAAAGCTGCTGGTTCGGTCACTTTGTTTCAATTCCCTCACAGACTCCGATGTAGTTTTCGACTCCATCTTTGAGCCGGTGTTTTGGACTGTGGATTATGTCACACGATGGTTTGGCCTGGTGAGTGAGGCAAAAGTGAAAACTTCTTTCTACCCTGGCCTGAAAATGAATGTCTGGATACTTCCTATGATAATAAGTTAATGATAAGTGGTCATGCTTTGTTTTTGTTTTTTTGAGTCGAACCAAATAGGATTGAAGATTGAATTAACTTTAGTAAAGTTTTTTGCGAGGGGATGTAATGATGCTTCACCTGCTTGTGTCAGGAATCTGGGAGACCACTCTTCCACTGTTCAAAGGTTTAAATGATCACATATAGGCAGTATTTTATATTTACTACACAGTATCAACCTGAAAATAAGCTATTAAGTGTTTTTAGAACTTTCTTTTTATATGCATTATTATATGTATGATAAACAGTAAGATCAACCTGGAACTGATATATTGTACTGTCAATTATTTTTCTGGGTTTTAATTTTCTTTTGATTCAGGTATTTGTTTGTCTGGTGGTGATACTGACCAGCTCCATCGTGTTGATCGCCTACATAGTACTTCTTCCTCTGGTCTTAAACACATACTCTCCTCCATGGATTGCTTGGCACATATGTTATGGACACTGGAACCTCATCATGATCGCTTTTCACTACTACAAAGCTGCAAAGACTTCCCCTGGATATCCTCCTACAGTAAGACATTAAATCCACCTCTCTGTTAAATCTTTATTTTGTTTTGTCCTTTTAAAGCAACAAATCTTGCTCTTTTATTCATAGGAAAAAAATGACCGGCCTTTTGTTTCAGTCTGTAAAAAATGCATCATGCCTAAACCAGCAAGAACTCATCACTGTGGTATCTGTAACAGGTTAGTGAGCCTTTTTTTGTTCTTTATGGTACCAGAGGGCTGCTAACGCCATGCAAACAAGTTCACAGCGGATTCCAAAAGCCCTGCAAACGCATAAATGGGATTAGCAAACACAAAAATTAGAATAGTGCACATACACAAAATGCATGTAAAGTGAAAATGCTGCCAAAACATCAGCAAGGTACCGGTAGTAGAAGCTGCAAAGAACTTCTGTATAACTGAAGTTCTCCAGAAAACTAGGTTTATATGATCAACAGCTCATAAGGGAACATACCCTTGGTAAAAGCATTCATGGGATGCTCAAAGAGGTTAAAAAATGCATTAAAAACTCTGTCTTTCCTCCATATATCCTCTAGGTAGATGTGTTTTATGTTTTTAACTAAGAATACTTACACATTTTCTCCCATGACAACAAACAGTGGCGCCAATGTGATGTTTTTAGTCCTACTTTTATTAAACGGAACACCCTCTTAGAATTCATCTGTCTCTTCCAAAGTCCTGCGTCCACAGTTAATGTGTCATTACATAATTTTTGTACCAGAAGGCACCGGAAATTATCAATCTACTTTAAGGCAGAATTCACAGTTCACAATTAACTTCATTGTGAGGAAGTAGACGGATCATCGTAGCTCATGAAAGGTCACCAACACAGAATACAATTTCACAGGCCATCTTTCATCTAACGGAGGATGCAGTTTACTTTTCCTAACACAGTGTAGGGATGGAATTCTGTAATTCTTTGCTGAATCCGGACAGCCTTCAGCGTTATGGACGTCATGTTTTTGTGACGAACATGCACATGAATGACGCTGTTCAAAATGTGACTACAGCCTTCTAGAAAAGAGCGGCTAAAGCTCTCTGTTATAAAACCCAAAACATATGAAGGTGTGTACATCAGCTTGTGCCACAAAGAGTACACATGAAGAAATAATGTATTTTTGTAAAAACTTTTTGAGGTAGGCTGTACTCATACTTTCTGTCTCACAACTGATTGTGTGCAACTTTACAGCACCTAGTGGTGAGTAATAACTTCAGGAGGTCTCTATGCCAACTGAACTGGGGATAGGAAGCATCCTACTTCCATACTGCCTGCACTATTTGGACAGTGCCTATTGTGGCTTTATATATGCTTTGGCCTAAGTGTCCTTACAAATTTGATGTATTTGGAAGGAGTGCGATTAATGCGTACTAATGTCTGTGGTCTGGAGCACTTCCGTTATCCAGAGCTAGTTTTCAGCTTTTAATAGCTGTCCGTTTGTTTTTTCTTCTTGCATTGTTTTACCTTTGCATGTGTTGGTGTATTGGCATCGTTTGTGTTTTGGCAGCTGGTTATGTGTTCACTGCATCCTAAACCTTAGCCGCTCTCCATTTTCTTTGATTAATTGTGGCATTTCGCATTTGCAGCATTTTCCTTTTGTATGTGTTTGTGTGTTAGTTTAATTAGGGCTGTAGCTAACAATTATTCTTTAAAATACATTAATCTGTTGATTATTTTTCCATTAATCGATTAATAATTGGATGGGAAAAGGTTCCTTAAAGAAGAATTTTTACAAAAT